TTAGATAGTTTGTTAATGCTATAATAAGAACTCTGATAAGTTGGTTTATTATAGGTTATATTTGTAAAATCAACTTACAATATGTTGCACTATGATGAATCTTAATATACATGTATGTGTTCAGATACTTTTGTTAAGATGGACGCATGTCAGTATTATGTTGAATGGTTATTTGCGGGACATTTTGAGGTATGATGGGTGGGGTAAGTGATCAAGAAAGGACGACCCCTCTAAATATTCTACCCTATCAGAAATTACATTCTAAAAAGAAGCAAATAAGCATTCTAGGCTTTTTTAAAAATGTTTTTGAAATCTCTAAAAAGTGCTTGGGTTTACAGACACAGGCCCTTTATGTATTTTCGCTAAAGCCACTATTATCGACTTGTATGACAGCTGTTGGCCCATTAACCTTCATTTGACCTTTGCTCATTTTGCTGGGAAAGAAAATATCAAAGTTTTATCAAATTGCCCAATACGAAACTAATCATCATCGAGATCGACCTACCTAGACAAATTGTGACTAAGTTCTTAAACACCAAGATGTGGCAGTAAAATTGGTTTGCACGTTGCCATAAAATAAAAACAAAAAACAACATGGTTTAACAGGTAGGCTAAAATTAGCAATCAGTACTTTTGAAAACGTGTCCTCTTCCCAAAATAGTGTACCAATTGTTTTATCTGTTTGAAATTAAACTAAATCAGCACGAAACCTGTTGATAGAATTGCTAGTAAATAATATAATATGGTTTATTATAGGCTAAATTTGAAAATAAACTTACGGTATGATCCACTATGATAAATCTTGATATCTGTGATTGGATATGTTTGTTGTAAATCTACCAACCACCAGCCTTGTTCAGATATATACATATCAGTACATGTCGAATAATTATCAGTATCTATATAACCATCAACAGCTATAGAAGATGGTTTGCTCAAGGTATAAAGAGAACTCTGAATAGATCTTTTATTATAGGCTATATTTTCTGTAAAACAAAAACAGTATGTTATTACCAAACAAATCATATAACAATTCCTCGTCTTCAACAGAATGTCGTATATCTGTTATACCTCTCTTCTTCTATCGGTAATAATAATAACAGATTTCATTGTTTTCGCTACTTACGGAATCCTCTGGTAGTTGCTGTGCAAAGGTAGAATGAATGTTCACATTATATTTGGTATCTAAATAAGAAGTAGTTTCTGTAGACGCTGGTATTTAACCATTAATATGAGACACCTGGTGGGTTTTACATAATGTTAACAAATTAAAGGAATCCAGAAAAAGGAAAATAGATCTACCGTCATGCCAAATAATCATTACGAATTTTATAACATGTTTATTAAAATATATTATTATAGTGAGCCAGAAAATTACATTGGGGCGAAATAAGTTAGTAAATTATGTTGGGGCGAATTTCCACATTTTTCACACAGTTCGTTTCTCAGGGTGTAATAAGAAAGTATAGAAAATTATAAACCTTTTTGACAAGTGGGACCATACCATCCTTGTTTACATCCTCCAGTACTACATATACCAGAATCTTGACAACTTTCTTCATTATTACAGTTACAGGTTAAACTGTTGTTATAACCAAACTGTCTACCTACAAACATAATAACAGTTACATGCAATACTATTGTTATAACCAAACGCACTACCTACAAATATAATAACAGTCAGATTTCCTACCTACAAACATTATAAATGTTACAAGTTAATCTGTGAGGTAATATGGGACTTACTTGTGCTTCCTTTGTGATTGTAAATAAAACTACAGGTAAGTTCGTTTATACAGCTTTATTATTAAACTGCTTGCAAGGCTTCTATGTTCCACTTTCTTAATAAAGTATAAATAATAGATGCTAGGAATATCTGGGTGAGTTCTGATCAATTTCGCTCAACTCCCTCTTTTATAACCCCCTTATTTCTGTACGTTATTGACTGACCTTGGCGTTAATTTCCTTCCCAAATATGGAATAAACATCCCCATTCTCCCAAGACCAGGGGGAGAACATTACCTTATTTGGTCTACCAAACACATGTCATAAACAGATATAATTTGATGGATATTGTGACAATGGTAAGGATTTTAGCAAAATATCACTGTTTTTGTGTTTATATAAACATGTGATTCGCTTTCATTAGTACGTGGGATTTGACTCTATAGAAAGTGTGAACCAATGATTAGTTAAAGATACAATAAAGTTTTAAGGACCAACGTATTACACCTGTTGTTATAACCAAACTGACTACCCAACTCTTTCTAATTCAAACTATATTTATAGAAGAAAAGAACCTTACCGTGTATCGTAGAAATAAGAGAAAAACATATTATGACGGTCTTAACTAATATCGCCATCGTCTCTAACTCGAATATTTTATACAAGGAAGTAAATTAACATTGCGTCCCCTTTCTTTCTAAAGAAAATGCTGCTCCTTTAGCAAACATTGTAATTTCTAAATTAAAGTTACCGTCTTTAAAGATTTTATCTATGAATACATTCATAACATAAACCTTTTAATTAATTAAAATGGAGGATAGGAGGTAATGGTCACAGTTTCAAATCGCGAACATCGAAGTGTATTTCAACGCTTCGTGAAGTCAACTCAAGGGTATAGCCCAGCGCCATTTACGGCACCTCATTTTTCTATAAGCATTTTTTGTGGTCTACTTCTTGCAGAACGCGTATCAATATCTAGTGAACTAAGACACCAGTTTTGTTATAGATGATCTGACGTGGGTTGAACGTAAGGAAGTGGTCTAGCGTTTAACATCGCTCAATACATATTTTTAATATACTATTCTAGACATCGTAAGGCTCTTACACAAACCCCTAAAATCCCCATCGTTGGTTAGGTCTAAACAGTGATATCTTAGAATGAGTAAAGGGCAACAAAACTCCCACTTGCATAAAGTAGAGTTCGACTAAACGGGCCAATACCTTTAAGTATTAAAAATTGTGACTCCCCACAGTATATACACGAGTTAAAAGAGATAACCCGAGGCGTTTAAACACACAAATAAAACGAATAAGTGATGTACACACGGAATACACCTAGTATTATGATATTTCACACACTATTACCAGCAACACAGATTGCATAATCCTTAACATCAATATTTGAATTTAAATTTACTGCTATTGTTCAACTATTAACACAATTTTCTTTGTGCCAAGATACTTTTTTACAATTTCAACCGAAAATTCGACAAAGAGCAGGTTCCGCGACAGGACCCCCCGGCCCTGGGACAAACAACTCGGAGTAGGGGAATCCGGGGTTGGGGGGATCCCTCCCCCCACCCCCGGGCTCGAAAATATATGAAAAATACGTGTCTCCACCGTCATTTTGGCGTATATCTGGGGTAACTGTAGGTTACATAACATAACATATGACAACAAATACATATACTACGTTTAAGTTTTACTGATGTAATAATAATCAGATGTACAATGTACACGATTTTGACAGGAAATTTTCAAACGGCGTGAAGGCCCGGGTAGGTGGTTTATGGTTTTTAATTCACCAATTTTTTCCCCCAAAAGTGGACTGACAGAAACCGATTCTAATCCTACCCACGCCTCTAGGTACCCACATCTAGAAAAGTCACCGGTTTTCGTCGACCTTACCATCAAGTAACAGTGGTTTTTTATTCTTAATTTACAACCAAAAAATTGTTTTTAAAACATTACTCGGCATACCTCCGGGCCTCTCTAGGCTGCGGGTCCCTGGACAAGTGTCCCAGCTGTCCCTCCCTCTCATGGGCCCCGAGGGCGCGTTTCCTATTCGGAAGGAAAATCAAGCATCTACTAGATCGTAGTGCAAAACGAGCTCCTTGTTTGTTGTTTAATAACTGTGATATACGCAATTCATATTGGTAAACATCTTTTGGCTGTCGGGAACAGCTGAGTAGGCTAATACCAACAGCAGATTTCTTTGAGACACCCAGACACCCGACCTGAATCCAAATGGGATTCCTTGGAGGTAAAATCACCCAGAGGGATACACCAATGCAGAATCTTAACGATGTCAATTAAGTACTACACCAGGGTACGATGGTGGCTTAGTGATTAAGATGTTTGCTTGCTAACCTGGGGGCTCCGTGTTCGATCGCGGTGTTGCTCGAGAAAGTTCATCGGATGGCCTGGAAAGGAACAACGTACATTCGTTTGGGTAGGACGAGGTCCCATGTTGGCGTGCACGTAAAAGAACCCATGACAATGGAATTCGAAATAAGAGTAGGGCGTAGTGTCGCTGTCCGGATAAAATTGAATCACAGCACACTGGATGGCGTATGCCCAACTTCATTAGCCTGGTCGGAGCAGAACAATAGGACGTTCAACCCCATTTCATTTCTTTTTGCTCTATAAGAGGAACGCTAGCTCAGATCCAAAGTCCATCCAGTCAAAGAGGAGGATAGTTCAACAGGTGATCAAGACTAGCAGACACTACACTATATATTGACATTTTTCATTGTTTTCACTGCTCTATTGACAACTTGACCATGAAATGAGATGAGCTGAACTGTGGGATTTCCTATTGATTAGTATTATAGTATCCATGCTGGTTTGCATTTAGTTTCATCAATTTTCCGCCTTTGTTCTTTGCTCCACCTAAAGTTCAGTTTTTTGTCTTTCCTTGCTGATTCAGTGTTCCCTCGAGGCAGTTCAGAAAGATTGAATACCTTTCAGAACGTTAAATAGCTATCATATCTGATTACGATATTGAAATAGGGTGTTGCCATACTTTGTTTGCTGTTTATGAGATTTGTTCGCGAATAAAAACTATATTCCAAAAACTGTGTCAAATTTGATTCCATGGACATACAAGAATTTAATCCGAGGAATTTCTAATCAGTGATGTGGATGATTCCTAGGATATGATCCGGAAACAAATCGTGTGAGATAATAAAACCCCACCGTCTTCAAAAATACCCCAACGTCACATCTCTGTCCCAATTTGTTTTCTTCAAGATAAAAGAAAACATTCAATTGGTTAATTTTTTTAATGCATATTAAATTGTTTAAATCCAGCTTTGTTGTTTTTCAAGTAAATACTGTAACTAAACATATTATTACAGAGCAATATCACAATTTGTATAAATAGTGAACATATATCTACATAACACAATTGATATATATAGTTAATATATATCTATAACATCATTATAGAGTAATATCATAAATGATATTCTTCATCATAATTATAGTTTTTTTTACAAACGGGGTATCAATTACCAATCTATTAATCTATTAAATAAATTATCGACCCACTGGATTCCTTCATTATTATCATTGATATATATATTTGTATTCGAAAATATTAGCACAACCGCAAAGCTGCACTATAATCTTTTACGGTAAACGATGAAAAGTTAAAAGGTCTGGCGACAAGAAACGATTTCAACACTGGTTTAATAACATTTTAACATTTTAAAGTAGTTTTGCTCATTTGGGAAGCTCGTCAGAAAAAAATGGCATTATGCCATAATTCAGAAAGAACCTGTATCGCAATATAAATATCAATAAAGCGAACTATAATAACAATTTAGATTTTAAATTTTTTTGATAAGTTTAAAATTGACTTGGGTAAAACATTTATATCAATAACTAAAATATTCGCTTTAAAAGTTCGGTAAATATTTTCATAAAGTTGTTAATTTTGCTATTTTACGTATCCTGTTGTGTTGTTCTTCCCAGTTTCTTTTTCTCCAGTTTCTCTAATGATTTTATGAACGCAGTTATTCTGTCTTTGTCTTCTGTAATCTAAAAAAAGTGAAAATAAAGACTATTTCTTTCCTGTACATCAGGACGTACATTTCTGATTTTTAACGAATCAAAAAGACGTACTTTTGGCATTTGGTGAATTGGGCAAAACAAACCAACCGTGATACTTTGGTCTGGTTGGGATAACCATATGGCCATTTCTGTTATGTATGAGAGAGGGAAATGTGATTTAACGCCCACTCGACACAAACTAGGTAATATCGGGACAAACACATGGTTTAATTTTATTTCAATAATTCGCTTGCGCGCAGGGGATTTTAGCAGCTGGAGGAAACCGGAGGACCCGGAGAGAACCCACGAAGTTGGACAGGCGACCCTACTCCTTGTTACTTACAACCGGGGAATCGAAACCACGCCAGTTGACTCAATGACAGACCTAATGATATAACGCGCATGCGCTAACCAATCGCTCCCCTCCCCTCCCCATTTCTGTTGTAATTTGTACAACTCAAATTGGGCTATTGCTGTTCGGATAGGGGCGTTATCACCTGCTATTTTTGATTCTGTCATGGTCATCGATTCTTTTAGGCCATTCGTACACGAATAGGTCACGGGCTTGGTCTCATGAGAACGACTTCGCACACTTTTTGTAGGCCGTTCCGACTTTATAATGAACCCTCTACGATTCAAATTTAAATTAAAAAAAAATACATTTATTTATCTATTCCGTTTGAGTTTCTTCTATAGTTAAGGATATGACAGATTATATATCTTCCATTAATAATCAATCTTGATCACTATTAATTTATTAAGCGTATATTTAAAATCAACTTATTCTAATTTGTGACGAAACCGTTTTGGTTATGATATGTATTTCCTAATAAAAAAAACCCGTAAAGTTTTAAAAACTGCTATCGAGAATTGTATTGTTTTAACAAAATTTTAATCAATCTGAACATAAATGGGGTGATAACTCCGAAAATTGCGACTGAAAAACCGAGTTTTACGTGGTTCTTCCTCATAACCAAATGAACAACCTACAATAGACGGGCGGACTGAATAACGACAATAGTCAACCACATTAAAATGCACGCCTATAAAAACGAGGTCCATACCTGGAAGGTTGCTTCCGATAATTTTGCTTTCTTAATAGCTTCGTTATACTTTTGTTTCTCTTTCAGAGCCATGGCCTCAAATTCCAGAGCCTTTCCCTTCTGTGCTCTGGTACAACATGAGAAAGATGATGCTGTAAAATAGAGATCATGTCGAATAACCACAACTCTAACCACCGTTTAAAAATACGGGTCCTGGGAATTGTAACCGAATTGTTATTACAGGGTGCCAAAAGAAATATACATTTTCCATTATTTTTTAGGAAATGGAAACTACGTCTTGAAGAATTGCACCGAAGAAGGATTATTGCTGTCTTAAAGCATAAATACTTACCCGTTTTAGAAGCACCGATTACATAATCCGAGAATATCTGCAAGTCCAATAAAATAATGAATGAAAAATCCCCTAGATATTATATATTATCATACTATTTGGACAATACAGGTTTTAAATTAAACACATTTATATTTATTCTTTTAATTTGATTTTTAGCATTTCGAGTGCTGGAGACCACTACATAAATAATTTGATTATTCTCTTTGATCTGTCTATAACGGTAAAAAAAGTAATTGCCATCTACGGATGCGACATCCACCGGGTGGATCTAAAACAAAATTTGGTTACTGATCTATACATAACTATTTTTAATCGTTAAAGGTTTCTATGGAGATAACTTCAGAACTGTTACATAAGTTTTTTTTCTATATCCGATGTTTATTGCCGTCAGCGTTGTCTATAAAAATGACAATGAGAGGAATCATTTCCTTAACGTTAATAAACCACCTTTATATCTACACTGCTAATGTGTAGAAGAAATAAATCTGGTAGAAGAGTCATCCCTTCTTCTCCTCCAGACATATGCAGCATGTGTAATCTGACGATATAATCTGTTAGATACAAACACGAATCTGTATTGCTGTTTGTTAAAGCCAGCTTAGCTATTTCCATAAATTCTGCCAGCAATACTGCTACATCCTACAAAAATAATAATACTTAATGATATAAAAGTAATAATATTAAATATGAAAAATCGTTTAAAACATTGTTGTCGGGCATCGAAATTTACACTCTCAATTTTATGTCGTCCAAAACATAATTATATTATGCGAATCTTATTTGTACAGAACTGTTTGTACAGTTCTAGTAGCAAATGGATTAACAGCAGCAATGTTAAGCCAGCCAAGAAGATCACGGTATTTAGAAGAATCAATAACTCTACATAACCTGATGAGTGATTCTGACATTTGATAGAGTTTTTTGAATTTTCTAACAATCCCAGACGACGGTCAATTGAGTGACTTCAAAGGTTAACGTATAAAAATGAAAATCATAAGAAAACTTGCACTGTTAGTGGTGTTTCCTCCAAATACTTTCGGTAGACAGTCCTCAATCAGTTCACCCAATTTCTCATTTATTAGGATCTCCGGTTTGTCGGTGACTGTTTTATTCCTTTTACAGCTCACACCAAGCAAAGAAATAACTGAAAAAATATAACACCTCCTTCAATTACTTTGCATTCGCCAATAAAGTTCATTCAAAATAAAAGCGGTTCTTAGCAAATCGTCTGGACCTTAGTAAGTAGGGCAAATTTGAATTGAACGTCAGAATTGTGATTTTTGTATTGGGACATAAATGTTCGATTTATGTGATCCGACTTTATATATTTACCGTTAGATTGATAGTGCCTGGCAGATGGACAAACCCATATTTAACAATAGACGTAAGAAACATAATTATAAAAAATTATGTTCATTATATTTAATAAAGCCATAATTCACAGGATTAAAGGGGGAATACAAAGTGGCATAGCAAATAATTGATCTCTACAAATTTCGTATTATATTACCAAGAAATGTAATAAACATACTGTGAAAAACATATCTTAAAATTCCCAACCAAACATCACGTGATTCAGATAAATTCTAAAAATGAAAGCAAATAATATTATATTTAACCACTGAATAAATAGTTTATCATTTTGATGATCTTAAATGTGTAAATGGCTAGCTAAAGCTCCACAGACAATTAATTCGGTTGACAATCCAACTGCTCCACTAAAATCACAAGGTTGTCACGAAGGTTCCAATGACGGCCGCAACCAATCTGTGAACAGTAAGACCGCAAGACAACCGTGACATGTTGCAGCCGGAGGGAGGGGGAATGGGGTTTAACGTCTACTCGACACAATGTTGCAGCCGAACGATACACAAACATACAGGGATGACATCAGATTCTTTTAATTTTATTTCTTGCGTTTCGTGTGCTGGAGACAACTATATTTATACACTGACTACATAAATAATTTGATTATTCTCTTTGATCTCTGTCTATAACGGTCATAAAGTAATTGCCAACTACAGATGCGACATCCATCGGGTGGATCTAAAACCAAATTTGGTTATTTATTTTTTCAGAACTATTTTAATCGTTAAAGGTTTCTATGGAGATAACTTCAGAACTGTGACAGAAGGTTTATTTTCTATATCAGATTGTTGGTGCATATTTTGGCTAACCTTTCTTAGGATGTCCAATCCAGATATAAATCGAAAAAAGAGTTTGTTTTCTGTAGGCATTTCGCCTTCTTCTTCTTTAGCCCTCGATATTAAATATTTGATTATACTTTCGTGGAATTGTTCGGCTGTAGAACAGCTAAACTGTCCTTTGACAATCTGTAACTCTGCACCACTTATAACAGGCTCAATATGAACATCAAGTACCAGGATTTTAGCAGCCTATAAGGTAACAATAAAACTGTTCGTTTTTTAAAACATTCGAATTATTTACTATAAAACTGATCTGCTGTGGGATCACATTTCTTATAATTTTACTTGACTTCTGTATTCTGTATATCTCGTTAGCTGGAGTTTTCTTGTTTTAGGACGCTATTTTTGTTTGAAAATTACTAAAAAAATTACGACCTGTGAAATTACTACAAAAAATTATATAATCTGTGAAAATGAATTTAGAAAAAAAAGTAAACCTTACAGCCTCGTAATGTGTTGGTTTGGTCTTTTCTTTTTTCTTAACAGGTTCTGGTTCTGGTTGAATCTTTACGGCACTCTTTGATTCTTTCAGTCTTTGCTTCTCTTCCATTCTTTTAATTAACTCCGTCATCTCCTCCTTATCTCCATCAGTCTAAATAATTAAAATAACGAGCCTAAGCCATCGAGATATGAATGACTGGACACGCCCCGTTTAAGCTTTGGTATGTTTCCCACTGACATTTATAAGGGTACCTAACTTTATAAACTACCTTTCCCACTGACATTTATAAGGATAGCTAACTTGTACGCGCCAGCGCCTAAAAAGACTAGTGAATAGATGCTAAAGAGAAATATACCCCCCCCCCCCAAAAAAAAAACCCCAAAACAAAACAAACCCCCCCCCCAAAAAAAAAACAAAAAAACAACACGAAATGTCTTACGTCCAATAAATCTCTAGCTTCTTTCCCACGTTGTATGGCAAGGCTGCAGATACCCTTAAATTCGTACGCTTCGGCCTGTATCTTCAATTTCTGAGCTTGTTGGGCGTGGTCTGGTAAAAATGCTGGGACTTTGTTTTCAGGAAGATAATAAAACAAAAACAAAACAGAAAGCAGTGATACAATGATTAAGAATAACAGAAAATAAATACTATGCAAGGCTGTATGTGCTACATATATGACGAGGTATTCTGGCAAGTTATTTTGACAAATATTGGTTGGTAAATCCTTCCGCCCCACTAAGCCATCTCCGCTAACAGTGCTGTTATTACTAGAAGTTGTATTCTTACAGTTGAATTATATACTTTAAATTACTTTGTGTTATATTACATATTCGACTCACCATTTTTAATTTTGTTCAGAATAAAGTCAGGATATTTCTGAAACAGATTAATTATAAGTCAGTCTGATTAAAATTAGACCTTACGTTTACATTAAAACTATCATCTTTAAAATGTCCGTGTTCAATTGACATGTCCCGGCGCATCATTTAGCCAAGGGAAGGATGATTTTCGTTGTGGAATAATGGTTTTAACTAATTACAATGGCTCTTTCAGTAATGTCGACAGGGATTATAACTAAAACTATTTAAAGAAGCCCAGTAAGATTCACCCGCACAATAAGTTTGGCATGCGAACAAACGAGACCCAAGGTTGGCATACTCCTTTGAATATACCTAATCCCACTTAACACTGCAGTAAAGGAGGCGAATTTCTGTTCCAAATTATGACTGGTCAATACTCCGATTAACAACCAATAGCTAAGTGCGTAACAATATCATTACGCTTTAAACAGAGTTCCAAATTGGACCAAATATGTCTACATAACGTTACGTCATGACTCATGATTTTATTAAGCCTAATTCACCAATGCATAGCAGAATATTGCAGAAAGGCCATCAAAACGGCTACAATGTAAACAAATAATACTTTTACCGTTTTTAATACCTTAAATCACTGTCCAAAGTTTTAGGGAAGACCCCAGATTAAATGAAGGACTGTCACGTTGGTGTACTTAAGAGAGATTTGATTGGAATGGAAGAATAGACACACTCCCTCAAAAGCTCAAGTATCAGAAGCCAATCCAGCAATGACCAGAGAGAGTATCTCGGGCCATTGCTTCAGGAATATAAAGGTTGGCGGCAATGTGAACACATTAACTTTTGGGCGTATGCAAATGATTTAATAAAATAATTATTAAAGGCGAGGGCAGTTGAAAATAATATTTTTATCAGACCATCGTAAATATTCATCATAATTGGTTGCCCCGTATTTAGGAAATCAAGAACCGGATTCACTTACATTTTCATAACAAGTCGATTTAATTGTGGGGCCATGAGAGAATCGAATCATTGTGGCTTTACACATTTCTTACCATTATAGGAAGAGACTGGCATAGCAGTATCAGGAGATCCGTAGCAACGGGATGACATTCAATATACATCAAAGACATTTTACATACATCATCTATCAAGTTTAACAACCTAGTTGTAATGAAATAGGAAGCCGCCACATTACCATCTATATTCGCTGCCTTTGCAATATCGTAAAATTCTTTAAAGATATCCATCTGAAAGATATACCAAATTCAACCATGAATAAAATTGATTGCAACTGGAAATAAACAGATGATGTGTCGAATGGCCTACTTAAATGTTTTGTTGGATTTGAATGTTTTTTTATTTTACAAGAAATACGTTCAGCAGGTTTGGTAATAAGAAGTTAACTTACATATTGCTGTAGCTGTATAACGGTTAGTTTCTCTTTTAATGTATCAATTGTTTTGTCGAACTCAGTCAAGTATATAACTCTTATACGTATCAGTGGTTCACCGTCTTTATCAATTAACACACAAATCGTATCAACCACACTTACAGCTGTAGATTAAATACAAAACAAAATTTTCCTAAATTTCGAAGTCCAAATTTACTTATTGGACCAAAGATATTATACAACTATCGCGACATTTAGCTATAATTTGTTGTTAGTAAGTTAAATAGGTTTGGTAAGCTTACTGTTTATAAGCCACCTAATAACACTTCACATAGCTAACAATATTTCTTGCATTTTTGTCATGTCAGTCAAATCAAAAACAGCGCCAATCCTTCAAGGAAACCAACGCCAGATATTATTTCGATCGATACGATTTTCATATGTAAGAAACTTGCATGAATTGCCGATTTTAATTACTTTCTAACTGACCCCGAAATAACAAACCTTTTATTAACTTGATTGCAGCTAAGATAAAAAAAACATGTTGAAAGTTTAAATTCTGTTGTACTTTTGTTTACATTATCTACCCATTTCTGGTGTGTTTTCTTAACACATTAGCCAACAATGTCTAGGTTACATTTACTGTTGTACTTTTGTATACAGTATAGTTAGCAATTTCGACTGTACTTTTGTTTACATACTGTTGAAATTTTGTATACATTATAGCTAACAATTACTATTGCACGTTTGTATACATGTGCATTATAGCTAACAATTTCTTTTGCATACATTATAGCTTACAATTTCTATTTTAGTTTTGTTTACATTATAGATAACAATTTCTATTGTACTACATATTATAGCTGCCAATTTCTACTGTTGTAGCCAACAAATGCCGTTGTATTTATATAGCTATCAGTTTCAGTTGCATTTTCATGGATCATTTACATTGTATATTACATTTTATGTTGTATTTTTACTATATTTAACAATTTTCGCTGTATTTATGAGATATATTATAGGTAATAATTTATGTTATACTTTTGTTTTCACTTTAGGAATCGTGGTGGATCAGTAAGTAAGACGCTGGTTCACTAACAGGAGGCTCCGGGTGCGTTCAGGACGGAGAGCCTGACAAGGACAGTCACTAGTCGTTCGGATGGGACGAATAACTGAGGTACCCCACATTGGCATAAACGTAAAAGAACCCTTCGAAATAATAGTAGGCTGTAGTGCCGCTGTCCGGGCAAAATGTCTCTTATAGCACGTTGTATCGGTTCAGAAAAGTTGAACGTTAAACTCTATTTCATTTCATTATGTTTACATTTTAGCAATCTATTGCACTTTTGTTTACCTCTAAACACATATCGCATTACAGCAAATAATGAAAGGATATCGTCTGGATGATTCTGAAAAAAAGACCAAAACATTTCGTGAAACACTTGAAACTGAACAGAACATGGTTAAATCCGATTGTTAGCCTTAGTGACCTATTTATCCATCTGATAATGTCCATGCATACTTAAGATCATTTTTACATAATGAATTATGAATGTAATACTACACACATGGGATGATCAAGGGATTGATTTGGTGATTTAAGTGGGTGTGGTGAGAGGGGTGCTTATCTCCCTCTTTAAAGGTATTTTACCGAGTATAATGCAAAAGTCGTTGATCCCTTAAATCATCCCCTGCATGCAAAATATAGCTTCAGCCCATACCTGTGGGAGGCCAGGTTTATTAGAAAGTTTTTTTGGAATACATTGTCGATTATTAACACACTATTGAACGTCAAACTGTTAAAGGTGTGTTGTGTAAGATTGGACAGTTCCCGCTATATTAGCTAAAGTAAAAAAGAAACATATAATGAAACGGGAACATGTTGAAAATTTCAGTCACATTACTTCACTGGGAGCCGAGTTATCGCCGATAGAAGAACAGTGTAGCCTCGATTGTCACTTCTACCGTTGTTGAGATAATAAACAAAGTCACGATTATCCATTTTTAAATTAAATCATTTAATGGCCGAACCGTCCTAATCTACTTAAAATCAGATCCATCCGATGGCATCGAGAGTTGATTATGGTCTTGTACTAATTAATGTCTAATTGGTACTTTATATAACATTAAAGGCCCAAAGAAAGACCTGTAACAGGCAGATTTAGCTCTTGCATAATGCCGTTTAATATAATTGACAATAAATATTATGACCTGGAATGTGAAAAATGCCATACGCTGTGTTAAGAAATCTTTTCCCATTTCCGAATCCAATATCAACACCTCATCCAAATTAGCAGTTAATCTTTCTTGAAATAACTTCCCACTTTCACGATCAAAACAGCCAAGGGTGAGTTTTCTAACAGCTTCACACACTTCTACATTCATATTATCTTGGGCTCTTTGGATAATCACCATTCGTCCATAATGTAGAAATGGATTATCCATGTTTTTCTTTTTGTTCAGGGCTTGTTCTATGAAATAATAATAAAAAAGGTCCAATAGAAATTGGTACATACAAGAAAAAGAAATAGGGTTACGCACACATTAACGTATTCTGAAAAGAAATAAGTATCATTATAGTAATGAAAGCCCCGGCAATGATCAATGTAACGATCATGATAATTTGAGTGTGAAGCAGAATCGGGTGTGGTTAAATTAGATGGGATATAGATAGATAAAGGATAGCACATTTTTTTTATACATCAATATTTCAGCCCGGGCGTATAATGTCGCCACCATGTCCATCGGTCTGGCAACTATTCTCATGTGAACGCAATAGAGGCTACATGTATCAGCATATTATTTTGAGATGGCGAAATGGTATATAAAGAACTATTGATGTTAAAAGTTTTGCAACCTTCATTTCGGAAAGGATGAACCCTGTTGATTTTTAGCATTTAACTATGTTGATCATTAAACGCCATTTAACCATGTAGATCATTAAACGCCATTTTACTCCATTTAATATACATACAAATATATACAGTAGAAATTGACAGCCAATTTTGCTATAAATATTATGTAACTTGTGTGTTATTGTTATGGCAAAATTTTAAATACAGTTTTGTGTATTTCTGTGAGATTTCAAGTTAAATTTCTACTATTAGAATATGTATAACACAACACGTATAGCCCAACCAAAAAATAGTTGCTTTAAGGCGCTTTATAAAACTTAGACATGGAAATTATATTTTTGTTAAAAATAGAGCTACAAAATAAAGATAAATTACACGTGTAGGGTAACACAAATAGATATCGATAAACACATTATAAAACAATTTGATACGATAAAATTGTTTTATAATGTGTTTATCGATACCCATTGCGTTACGGGAAGTGTTCATTAATACATTCGGGCAAAGCGTTATAGAACTATCTGATACATAGGTAAGTATATTTACACCTCTGGTATGTAACTGTGTAACTGTCAAACAACTCTGTGCGTAGTGAAGCGCTTACGCATTTCGGTCGGTGCACTCCCCACAGGGTATGGAACTCCTTCTGTACGCTCTGTGGTATTATTTACAACTAATGAAATCGAGGCACGCGAACTAATTCTGCAATTGACAAAATACATCGAAATACAGTGAATGTGGATACTCGGATAATTTCGGCGAATGTCGAAGCGACATCTGTTACGGATAGAAAGGTCATGTCACGTATTCTCCACCGCGATTTGGGCCCAAGGAAACCAGCTGGTCCGAAGGTCCAGAACAACTTTGTCCGCCCCTGGGCAAAATAATACTGTATAATGGAGGTTGGGCATCAAAATATTTTGTATCTTTCAGAAAATCGGCTCGGCTGTTCCTTGGAAAATTGAGTCTTTAATATTACGTAACAATTCTAATGTGGTGGCAGTGAAGGCGTACTCGGTCCCTAGTCCATTGTAAGCTCGTACTTGTTAATCAAGAATGCAATTAATTCGATATCTTGTCAAGACACTAAACAATTATATGAATTTTCTAAACAGAACTGCTTTACAATGACTTAGTTTATGAAAATGACGTGAAAGATTGAGCTTGGAAGTGGCTGTTCTTCTTACCGTAATTATAAATGATTAACATACCTTATTGTTCTGTACCACACCCAAATTTATTTCAGGAGCCTTCTGACAACTAGTATTTCAGCTGCATTATTTTATAATACTGAGAATGAAAGTAGAGTTTTCCTAGAAAGCACAGGCGCATGTGTGGTTGTTTAGAAATGCAACTACAATATGGAATACCAATGAGGACATAGTCTACACGAAACTCGTGGTCACGGAAGAAAATTATTTCGAAAAAGTAAATGCTTGTGATGGGTGGGGTACGGAATGTAAGGGTACAAAATAGGCTTAAAAATTATTTTGTGACGATATAAGGGAAACAGAAACAACACCTGCACTGTTAATTATTTTAAAAAACCCATACAGACATTTTTAAAAGCTTAAACTGAGAAATAAAGAATGTAAAATGAGTTGAACGTGAACAGATAGGTGGGTAGATATAACAATATGATAGGGGGACCTAGAACAAACTGCAACAGAAATCATTTCTTTGGGAACTGTTCAGGTATGGTCTCTAGTACTCCCATAACAAAAACGGCCATTATCGGTCTTGGGGAAATTTGCATAAATAACTTAATTCCAAAATGGCCGCCAGTGGACTAGAAAATCGACGAAATCTCCGAAAAAGTTGGCTTTAGTGCAACTAAATGTGTTACCGACCTATAGGAAATCGATACTCCCGAGTTCAAAATTGCCAACATTTTTTTCCTACGACCTTATCGTAACCAAAGCCCTATATAAGGAAAGTTACGACAACTCATTTCCAGGCGCCATTTTGGATCCCAACTATGACGCCACAGAAACCATGGCGTCATACAGCTTTACTTATCATTACAAAACGTTTTATTTACTTCATGCAGCATTATATAGGTGGGGAAAGATATAACGTTTTACCTTAAACAAATTGCACCAATGCAGTTTGGTTCAATGATAAATATGTCAGACAAAATTATACTCAAAATCGGTCGAATTTGGCCAAGGTAAAATGACGTAATCAACATAATTCAATATGGCGACATCTCGTAATCAATGTGTTTCAGTGGTGGAAGAATAAATAATTTTTAAATTCCTCAAACACAGAACGATTATGCAAGCCAAATGTGCCGAAAAGTCGAATTTGACAAATATCAATTAAAAAATTGTATTTTTCATATGGTGCCGAGCAGTTCTTTCAAAGTGGCTGCCAAATTTGGTAATATAATGCAATTCAAAAAAACCCCAACATAAATGTAATAAAAGGGCAGCGATAATTTCGTAAGATATGACTTTTGCTATGACTTTTATATGGTTTTCGATGTCCGAATTAAAAGATAAATTTCTAAAATCCAAAATGGCAGCAACACAAATCGGCAGATGTTAATTTAATCGTCATTTTTCCTTGTTGGATATTACTTGTAACATGTCATTTACACGGTTCTCGATGTCGCCGGGTTCAATACTGATCTCAAAAATGACTCCATGATGGCAGAAATTCAAATTTGCGGAATTTGGTTATATATGTGTTTTGGAGTTGTTGGTACAACTCTGATCTCAAAAATAAATTTCGAGATTTCTTGATGGTAGAAATTCAAAATGGTCGGCAAAATGAAATCTAAATTGGTGCTATTTTAATTAACCTCATTTTTTTCCGTTGGATATGTCTTATATGTGGATTTGGTAGTTTTTAGGGTTACTGAAATAAATGTTGGGTTCAAAACTTAATTTCAAATAGGATTGTCACCCACCAAGTTTGTGCGTAAGCTAGAAACATCAGGACAAATTACAGAAATCATCTTTTACGGTCAGTTTTGTAAAAGCAAGGACAGAACCTCACCGGACTACTGTACTACTGGGGTAATCACAAGTGCCGGTCGTGAAATGAATAACAAACAGAAATGAAACTGCAGTAACTATCGGTCTTGATGTTACCAGAGACGGACCGGGAGTCGAGGGTCTCTAAATCACGATGCACCCTGTAGTTCGGATATAGACTCTAAACTATGATGTGCACTGTAGTTCGTATTGATTCTCCAAATCATGATGTATCCTGTAGTTCGTATTGAGTCTTTAAACTATGATGTACCCTGTAATTCGGATAGAGTCGCTCTAAACAACCATGTACCCTATAGTTCGGATGTACTCTGTAGTTAAGATAGAGTTTCTAAACCATGTTTATACTGTAGTTCGTATGCACTATAGTTTTGTAAATAGGAGGTCGATCATCACATAAATATGAATTGTGCGATATGTTAATCCCAAAATGACATAGTTTTTCTTAAATGATATATTGTTAACACGCTTTAAATATCTGGATGTGATAGACTTGGTGTAGAAAATTCTAGATACATTAAAATATTGGCAACAGGAGGGATTTCTTGCTATGACTTGTTTGTGGTATAGGACGGAATTTATTGTTTTATTAATTGTAATCACAATGTTACACACTAAATTATACCCCTCTCGCTCCCCACTGAGTATTGTAATTAAAATATGTAATGATATCTTAGTTTATATCATGTCTTTGAATCTACCTTGGAGGTATGTGCAACCGTATGACACCTTAAATTTATTAATATGATTATTCTTACAAAGATCCAATTATAGTCTTTAATTACGCGCTGTTAACCAGCCATTGGTGTTTTAATGACAATAAATCATATAGTTTATTCAGTTCGACGTAAGATTTAAAATAAGTATATACAGTTGGTTTAACTTGAATGTGGATCTGTTAATCTATGTCGCATATATATCACATTTCAGTTGAATCATATATCATTTGTTACGTATGTTCATGTTGTCTTACGTATTTGTCAACATCAAAGTGAGCTTGTTATATTGTTCCATTAGCTTATTCAGATTTGTTGAGATGAACTTAGTACTAAAATGGCAATAATTTACTATGTCTTTTAAATGGATATCGATGTCTCTGAATTAAAGGTCATCGTCGAGTGTAGAAGTCGTGAAACACGATGTCGTGGGATTTGTTGGGGCCTGTCTTTCCCACAAAATTGACGAAAATTACAAGCCGGAAAACGCGTTTTCTTGCTACACAATTCAGGTCGTGAATACAGCAACCTGAAAGTAGTCCATCATAATGAAGACATCTGAACTCCAATCAACAAATCAATCAACCAGGCTGTTGTCGTTGCATTCACATGTCACCTGTCACACAATCCGGAATATCACTGATGAAACAAATATGCCCGAAAAACACACTTTTTTTAATTTAAATTACAGTGATTTTAAATGTTTTATCCATTAGTCAACTTAAAGAAATTTCGATTACGGAAATATTGATGATACAATTAATGATCGATGACCGAAAACTGTCACACAATCCGGAATATCACCAGACCAAAAGTCATGGAATTTCGAGCACTTTATTTTGCCGGCTAGAAGGAAAATGGGTTTTTCTCCCTCAAAATATTATTCTCAGACTTAAGTTGTGAATTTACTCAAAATTGTTCGCCTTATTTTAACTAAAATATAGCCCTTTATAAAACTTTTGTTGTTTTAATGTATCAAATACATCCATAAGAAACTATGCACAAAGTTGTGTGTTTCTGCATCAAAGATATTTCTCATAAACAATGATTGAAAGTTGAGCAAATTCTCAACATAAGTCTGAGAATGCTTTGTGAACTAGGGGCCATATTTTTAAAAGCGTATTCAAGTTAACTATCTTTAATAGCGCTTTTATCTGGTGTATCTTTTATTTTGATTTTTCTTATGAATTCAATTAGGTTATATGACAATTATGTGCGCTTTTGTTTTTCGTCTCATCCGAAGATGTACATTGTCCCTTGCCAGGTCTTCTGCCCTGCATCACTGAAAAGGGGTACCTCGCCGTAAAATCCCGATGAACATTCTCGGCCAACGCAGGGATCAAGCACTGAACCCCCAGGTAAGCAAGCCAACGTCTTACTCTCTGAGCCACCGTGTCTCCCAGCTATAGATGAACGATGATGTACAGTTTCAGTTTGGATGAAGATGTGTTCTTTTATAGAAATTGTACAGCGGTTCCTGGTTTCAATACAATTTGATAATGAGAACGACGTAATGCCATCAAAATGACGTTACGACGTCATAATAAGGTCGTAGGTAAAAAATGTTGGCATTTTTGAACTCGGGAGTATCGATTTCCTATAGGTCGTTAATACATTTATTTACACTGAAGTCAACCGATTCGGAGATTTCGGCGATTTTCTTATCCACTGGCGGCCATCTGGGATTTATGTTAATTATGCAAATTTCCCCAAGACCGATAATGGCCGCTTTTGTTATGGAAGTACTAGAGACCACACCTGCACAGTTCCCAAAGAAATGATTTCTGTTGCAATTTGTTCTAGGTGCATTGTTATCTACACCCGCCTAAGAAAGGGATTGATGTTAAAGGACAGCGGGGCATAGGTAAGGAGGGTACCAGTGTTCTATGTACCAGGAATTAAGTATGGCGCCAATCGAAGTCCGTCAATCGATGCGCAATTATTTAAGGAACAAGCAACGAATAAACTGAGAAATGGTGTGTATTTTAAATTTAATACCCACCTTCAACTATTGGGGAGTTAGATATCTGGTGGTCTTTAAAGCGGAAATTTCAAATTTTTAAGTTATATTTTTAATATTTATTAAAATAAAGCCTTAAAATAGATGGTATCCATAAACAGTCCTACCTTGTTAAAGAATAATCATATTAATCCTATAATTCACTATTGCCAGCTGAGAAATTGGCAAAAATATCATTTTCAACTTCAAATTCAAACGTTGAGGAAATGGCTGACCATTGTTTTCAATAGGAAAACAAGGGGGGTTATTGTGTTATTTCCTGTGTAAATGAGTTTTAAGTGTGAGAATGACACCTATGAGCGTATAATAGTGAGTTGATAACCTATTGAGCAAAAGACATAGAAATAATTATGTTTTGACTTTCTTAGAAAATATGAAATTCTCGCTTTAAAGTGTTTTTTTAAAACCAGTAACTAGGTAAAGGTAACTAGATTACTACTTTATGTAATGGACGTGCTAATGAATTGAATGTCCTGAAACCAATCACTGAACATGTTTGTTATTAATTAGTTTGAACTTCTCTGTAATATCATATTTGGTAGCTCAAACTGTTGGTGAAATCCAGTTTTAGATTAGCCAATTTAAAAGCAACAGTACCCGAAATACTCCAGATATCATACAGCTTATTGTGGGCCAAAGTCTATCGCGGCGAACGCCAAGACCCAGCCCCATTCCAAGACTTCAAAGATAAAATATGACTGAGAGAAGCTCAATCACCTCGCTCCAATGCATATAGACCATGACACATCAAAGACATATTTTCGAAAAAATACTCTACTGGCATTAAAATGCTAAGCATATTACCTGATTTAAAAGTTTATGGTATGGTATGTTTTAGTGCTTCCAAAATTCACCACACTGCAGGAAACGAAGTAAATACTCAAAAAAGATAGATGATGCCCATTGCTGGGCCCAAACCTCACCCTGTGTGAATGAGCTACTATCAGCAAAACTGCAGCGCTATCTGTATACAATGTGAACTATCCCTGATCTATTCCTAGAATGCACTGTTCGGTATGAGTTAAATAACTACCAATAACTTTTAGAAATGATTTAGATAACCATATTTACAAATGTCACAAAAATAAGGCCAATTATATAGATACCTAATGGTACACGAGCAAAAAAACATTTGGACCCTACAGAAGGATTAATCTTACTCCAGTTCTAACGACAAACAACTGGTCTATTTAAGATATGGTCTTTCGCTTATTGGCCAACCTCTGGGACCTTTAAGAGGATGGTTAGGGTGCCCAATTTCATATATACTCTTCAAAAATAGTAGGGGATGTTGAAATGCAAATACCTATGTAGGTTGTGATATGATAAATAGTCATGGACACTTGACATGCTTTGAGAGTATGTTCACAGATGAAGAGCTTATCGCCCCAACAGAAACACTGAGTGCACATGCGACACGCAATAGCGCCATACACGTGGAAGGGGTTCATTGTGAAATTTGACACTTCAAGGAAGGGTTGATGAACACTGTCGCGTGCTGGTTTATCTATCCATGTTTGCTTTCCTATCGGTTCTTGCATAAGATTTACTGTTTAGCGTATCTTTGCTTTAGTGTGTTACGTTTAATTTGATCGGGAGACGTGTTCATCGACGTCAACTGACAACACTACAAGAATTGGCCGTGGGACTGCAAGAGGGGTAGGTCAGATTGCCCCAAATCATGATTGGACGGTTGATTAGGAGCATGCCACGATGAATTGCTGTCTGAGGATTGGTGAAGCAATTACTCATTATTAAGACCAAAAACAAAAACGTCCATTTTCACTTTTGACGGTGTTTCTCTTTGCGAGTGAAATTGGGCCGCCAGATAAGCCGCCCATATTGTTATGTTCATGTGTAGGCAATTGGCCTGTTATTAACATACACTGGTTACCTCTAATAAAAACAGCAGTGCATTTCCACAGTTTTGTATTGTTTCAGAATATCACCTACTTTTTTTGAAGAGTGTATTTTGACTATTCTAACTTGTTACCATACTGAACAGTAACTTATTATGTGTGTGTTTTTGTGTATTGCTTATAATTACAGTTTTCGACTAATTTAAAAGAAGACATACACAAGAAGAGAGTTTTTATAAATATTATTTAATGGGAGTATTAAGTAAAGAATAATACAGATAGGTTTCTATTATAAATATAGTTTCATCTGTTTGTATTTCACTCTGTTCTAACCTAAAAAATAAACAACAATATATAATCATAAAGTAATCATCTGTCAGACCACATAAACATTACTTAATACATAATATAAAATACACATGTCTATGAACTCCTAAACATTACTTTCTAGATGTATACATTCCTATAAACTCAAAAGTAAACAAAATTAATTACACAGCTATTTATAAACTAATTCTAGGTATTCAACCGAGACTAACAAACCTATGCTTAATGAAAATGTGAGAAATCGACACAAATGGATTCAATCTTGTGTGATAATATTTAATAATGTTATCATTATTAAACTTACATGTTGACAGTAGTTCTGCATCTTTCTAATTGTTCTTTTTCTGGAGGTGTAATTGTCTCTTTAATCTCTTCTTTCTGTGCTTCATCAGCACCAGCCTGATCTAGAGATGCTATAATAGCATCAACACGTTCTTGTTTATCTAGAACACGTCTGAATAGAAAAATGGATATTTAGTCTAAATATGTATTATGTCTTTTATACATTGCAGACATGATGCAACAACTACATAAAATTCTTTTTATATTGTGATATTTCATTTCTGCTATATCCATACAATACATACTTAGTACTGAAAACTAATGCATCTGATTAAATTCATGCAAGGAATTTTGTTCTGATTTCATTTTCCAGTAATTTTAAGACATCAAGTAAAATTGTTTCAAGAGTGCGAACTAAATATAATATAACTTACTTATGTTTAGCTACCTCCATCTGTCTGCGTATTATAGCATTCCCTGCAGCCTAAAGATTAAAAATCAAACAATGTTATACTGTGTATGCTGATATCAACTCTCATTTGCTGGTGTTCATATAGCCAACAAATTTAGTTATACATGTTCATACTTTAGTTTTTAAATAATAAAATGGGGGTTTAATGTCCTACTGTTCTGCACTGACTGGTCTAATGAAGATGGGTTTACACCAAATAGTGTGCTATAATGAAGATGGGTTATGCCAAATAGTGTGCTATAAGGAAAAGTTTGCCCAGACAGTGGCACTACGGCCTACTCTTATACCGAAGGGTTCTTTTATGTGTATGCCAATGTGTACATGGGACCTTCGTTTTCCATCCCATACGAATGACATTGTCCCATGCCAGGCCCTCCTTCCTGCACCACTGACAACTGAGAACCACCTCAGAAAATCCTGATAAACTCCCTCAGTCAACTCAGGGATGGAACACCCTTTTAAGAACAACTACTGATGAACTCTTCCTCGAAACATGTCAATTAACATTCAATACTTTGACAAGAAAACTAAATTGCACTTATAAACTGGATAAATTATCAACAATGAAAGTTTCTTGGTTCTAATCAACTCCTGTAAAGCAAAACTGCTTTGATTTCGGTCAAAATACAATGTTGAATTGGGTTTAATTTGTTGATTAGTGATGGGTAAAGCTGACTTTATAAGCTGCACTGTTTACTTATAATTTAAGCTTTTTGTTTTGCTTAAAATGTCAAATGCTTGACAGAAAATGGGTCCTTTCTGAATACTGGCTTTAAATCTTAAATCAAATCCATATGTTCATATTTTTACCAAAATCAAAGAAATCAGGCAATTTGAAAGTTTATAAATAAAATCTATATTACCTTATAACATTTTTCTAGTATAATCCTAGCTACTTGATCTATATTTACACGGAATACATAATACGTTCTGGATGGGGCATGGTCAACTGTTTTTGATATTTCCTGTAAAAAAGATCACAAAAACAGACAATTCAGGTGACTGCACAAACCACATACAGAACAAAAATGATAAAAGAACACATTCCTAGAGAAAATAAACAGTTGAAAAAAACCCCCAACCAAAACATTTTTAATGATATAAATCTGTCTGTCTTTTAATACTTACAAAACATTTTTCTAGAACTTTCAGTGTCCCTTTAACATCAAGGGAATAAAATTAAGCACTAAATTCCATGACTTTCGAAATAAAGAAATATAATTTGTATTTATAAAGATTAAGTACTTACTGTAAGAGTAATAAAATGTTCAGCAAACATATTATATAATAGTTCTTTAGCTTCTTTGGTTGGTATCATAGCATATTCTTCTATCTAAATAAACATTTTTAATAAAAACACTATCAATATCAAATCCTACTCTTCTATCTAAACATTTGAATAAAACATTGATATCAAATCATACAATTCTATCAAAACATTTTAATATTGGATTTCACACATTTTCCATCTAGTCGTTGGTCTTAATGGATTGCTTGACACTAAATATCGATGTATAATAACATCCCTAAAATAAATAGCAAAGGGTGGTATGGTCAGTTACATAGAATGGTGGCCATCTTGGATGTTATCTTCAAGTTTACTCTTCCTTCCCATTTTTCAGAGTGGCTACCCAAGATTTATTACTCCCACAAAATTCAAGAGTCAAATTGAGAGATAAATGCATACAGATACTCCCTCAGTTGATAGACTATATCTAACAGACCATGATAACCTATACATTATATCATAATTACCTGTTTTTGTTCTAAGTGTTTCTTTAGAATTAAAACTCGAAATATTCTCAAACACTTTGAACCAAATCTGAAAATAAAGTCACATATAAAGTTAATTCATAACATAAATTATGAAAACCAGACATTCCAAGAAACCAACAGAGATTGTGGTGAGACAACAATTGGTTAGGAGACAAACATCCCTTAGCTTGGATGCATTGACTCGAAAAAACCATTTTAATAGTCGCCAATTTTTATACAAGGGTGTACTGGAGGACAATTATCAACTAATTGCATACATACCTTTCTTGAACAAAAGATTCAATATGAGCTTGACATAATGATTTTAGCACCCTAAAAATATCTGGAACAAGTTAAGGAATCCGAAAACAATTCATTTTTCTGTTATTATCATTCTTTATATTTTCTTGATCAACTGATGACTATATATAGCATCTGCCGAATAATAAAAGCCATATGTTGACTTCTGATGCTATTATGTATGTGTATTAATAATAAAGGATACTTATAACATAAAGACCACCACTACTATCACAGACTTTACTTATAACATCTACCTGTAACAAAACCAAAAAAATATATAAATTGCAAATCTGTGAATATATTCAATAATGCTTAAAAATCTTTGCTCAAATTTTCTGAAAAATGTTTTTGGTGCAACTTATCCACTTGCATTTACAATTACCATTGTTTATTTCTACTTGCATTGAACAATCTCTTCAAATTTTATATCAAAAATAACTTGAGAATTCAATTGCTTTTAGATCAAATATAGTTTCAATATATATCTTTGCTTATCCACCTGCAATTACAATTACCATTGTTTATTTCGACTTGCACTGAACAATCTCCTCACATTTTGTATCAAAAATAATTGCTTTTAAACAAAATATAGTTTTAATATATAACTTGTTGATATTAAAAAAATGAACTTACAGAATCTTCTGTTAATATTGATAAATATTGTTCTACTATATGTTTCGTCATTCCTAGTTCTTTAGGTAGAGAATGGAAAATCTGAAAGTCAAAAAAAAAAAGGGTAATAAATGTTATTTTGCATTCATACACCACCTGATTTTACATAGTTGTGCACAACAAAAACAAGATGGCAGCATGAGTTGAATAGAATGTAGAGGGGGAATTAGAAGACAATAACTTTGTTTGGATTCAAAAATAATTGTAAACCAACATGCCTTTTAAAAGGGCTACTTTTTATTGCAGACTACTTATATTTGCTCTTCTAAGGACGTACAATGCACTAATTAATACCCACCTCAGTTATTGTCATGGTAGCTGATACAGTAGAATGTGGTTCAGTTTTAATTTCACTTAATCGCAACATATTCCTTATAATTTCACCAGCTTGCTAAAAATATATTTTAAAGAAATTTAAAGAATGGCCTTTCCATTTCTTAGGACATTTGTTTACTTTTGTCACATACATCAATTCAAATATTAAATATACAAATAATTTTATGACACATGTAGGTGTTGAGAAAACAATAACAAATAATCAAGGTGAAACTAAATTAGACGAATAATGTGATTATTGTAAAAATAGACATACCTTGTCTATTTTACTGTTGACACAGTTTATTATCAGCTGATCTCTAAAATATTGATGAAATCGTTCCACATTAACCATCCAATATACACCGTCGTCAGGAGGAATATCCTTTAATGTAAATAATAAATAAATATAAACAATTATCTTTTAAGTATAGGGTAATGTTTGAAGACTGCAGTGCTAACTAAGCATTGCTGATATAAAACTGTATCACTATTTTATGCCCTGCACCACTTGCCAATATGATCATAGACTCACTGGAGCAGAACGGTAGGACCTTAAACACTATTTCATTTCATACTCACATAGCAAACTGCTTTAAATTAAATTTAGTGTTTTCATTTGGTGCAGTCATGCTGACTTGATAGTGCTAGGTTCAAACTCCTACACACTGATGTTGTCAAAAACATAACTTCTTACATTGTCACATTTGTGAGCTTATAGCTTACCATGCAATTGATAATGAAGCATGGGAATAGCTCACTTGCAGCCAGTTACAAACAACGTATGTGACTGTAGGACAAAGGTCTGACTTGAATAAAATATCTTTCGTAGAATTAAGCCTTAATCTTACCATTTCCTCTGTTTTTGAACGTTTTGAAGGTGGACCAGATCCATCTGGGTTTCGTTTTCTTTTAGAACCAACTGTTAAAAAAGAAAAAGATTCAAATTCAAATTACATGAATATATTAAGTAGAATGTTTGCCATAATAACCAATACCAAAACTGTGTTATAGGCACCAAGTAATAAATGCAGTTAATAAGCAGTGTTAGATTTTTGTGTACAGCTTTTATCTTACAGCTTTTTATTTTTGCTAAAGTATCAAAGAAAACAAAATACCACCCCTTAGATTCAATCTGATTGAATATTAGGCCCATCAGATTTGCCATAAACGATGGCAGTGTGGTGAGAAGCGTAGATTGATAAAATTTCAATTTATCGTAACTTTGTAAATGCTGAATGGAAATGAACCATTTTTGGACTGATATTCATATTTAAGAGATTCAACTTTCACAATATTGTGGTTTGTAAGGGATTCCTATAGCTCTAAATGACACATCACACCTTAAATTCATATCTAATAAGCTTATTTCCTATTTAAGTAAAGATAATTTGCAGGTTTTCAGGATGATCACATCAAAATACCTTCTAAGGGTGGGAGAATAAACAAGGATTCTGTTTCTTTAGGTTCTTCTGAGCTTATAACTCGATTTTCATCATCTGTCAGAACTGTTTGACATCTTCGCAAAAAATGTGTTTTTACCATTAATCCAAATTTATCTCGAACCAAACTTGATGTTATTTTTGGATTTCCTGAAATTAGATTTAAATTCACATTATAATAAATAAACAATATTTACAACTAAATAATAGGTTTGCAAGTAATATATTTACAATGTAACACAGAAATGATGTTTATAAATAAACAATGTTTATAAAACAAAGCGATGTTTATGAATAATGCTTTATCAATAAACAATTTACTGAAACTTCAACATAATACACTAACTACCTAATAATCTTTTACTGGCATTTAGTCAATAGATAGACTAGAGAGAGAAACTAGGTCATTTCAGGACTAATATATGGTTCAATTTTATTCAAATAATTCACTTGCTTGTAGGGGTCTTTAGAACTGGAAGGAAACCAGAGAAAACCCATGAGGTGGGACAGGCGACCTACTCCTTGTCATGTACAAGCTGGGAATTAAAACTACACCACTTGACTCAATCACAGACCTCCTGATTCAACGCACACATGTTAACCATTCGGACACATGATGAACTACATGTATAACACATATTTATGGAAAACAGCTCCTAGTACATTTTTAAGATACCCTCAAAGTTATCAAGCTAACATCAGTTAGAAGTACGTGTTCTAGTTTATTAAGTAGACCTACATACCTGTTGCTTCTAGGGCTTCATTTAATCTTTGGGTTACTCGTTCCGAAGCTATACTCATTAATGATTGACCATTCTGTAATAATTCTTCCACTAGCAGTTCAGCAGCATCGCCATACAATGTCTTTGCACAATAAATATATCTAGGATATCTTAGCTGAAGGCTGACAGCATCAGTGTTTATTGCATATTCTGTGACGCCTTTTTTATTACGATCAAATTTCACAAAATTATGCTGAATTAGAATACAGATTCCTTTTTTGATCTGAAACGTAAAAAAAAAGAATATATTACGACATTTTCACATGTACATGTAGCTCATTATGTGAGCTTCAGGGTATGCACAAAAGACATATAGGTGCAATAATCTGTCTGTATTAATTGAGTAATCAATTCCACTGTCTCTCAAAATCACCATACAAAACAAATACAAGGTACTGTGTTAATCTAGCTCCTAAAAGTGTTGATGAAATTTTCATGTTCACATGTGCCTGCGCTGAGTTTTGGTTCTTTTTTCATGTTCGCATATATGCTGAGTTTTGGTGTACATGTATTTTTACATGTTGTTGTTTATAGGCTATAGCAGGTGTTAATGAATCATCATTTAATGGTATAAAATGTCATCTAAATTGGGTGCTCCTAGCAATAAGTAGGTATTCATAAGGGAATGCTCACTAGTTCGCGGGTTCACTAGTCCGCGGGTGCACTAGTGCACAGGTTCACTAGTCCGTGGTTGTATTAGTCCACCGATATTTCTTATTAGGGTTGGGTTAGGAATAGGTTTATTGATACCCATATTTCTAGTATTTCTTATAGCGGCGGACTAGTGCACCTGTGGATTAGTGAACCCGCGGACTAGTGAACCCCTCTTGATCATAAACAGGTGGGGAGGGAACCATTATTACATTGGTCTATGTGAGTTGAATAAAAGACACTAACAATTCTTGGTTGATATGTAGGTACAATGATATGAAGGAAGCAACCTAGCTCAGGTCTGAACGTAGTCTCATTACCCTCGCCCTGTACATTCTGGAACGGGCCTATAGACTCCTTGTTGAAACTTTTTCAGTCCCCAGTAAATTTTACTGGGAAACTTTTTAAAAACTGCTAAACGGTCACGTCAGTCCCTGTGACTGACTGTACAATGTAAAGGAACATTTTAGTGAGAAAATAAGACCTTGCTTACCTCCCTGAACGTACAGGGTGAGTGTAACAAGACTTATCTTCAGAGCTGAACTACAAGGTACCCAGCCTTGGGCTGGTTAAATTTATCTAGACATAATTAATGAAATGAAATGGGGTTTAACATCCTACTGTTCTGCTCCGACTGGGCTAATGAAGAAGGGCATACGCCATACAGTGTGCTATGAGGGAAATTTTGCCTGGACTCTTATATCGAGTTCTAAATGCCAAGGGATCTTTGACGTGTACACAGGTCCTTGGTTTTCATCCCATTCGAACGACTATACATTGCCAGGCCCTCGGTCCTGCACCACTGACAAGGAGGAACCACACAGGAAAATCCTGATGAACTTTCTTGGCCAACACAGGACTTCCAGGTTACTCACTGAGCCACCGTGACTCCCCTAATGTCTAGAGATGACAATTATGATGATGAAATTATAGACTTGTTACAGAAATAACAACACCCAGTTAGATACAGTACAATAATTAACTGACTATCAAAAGTCTATTAGTATTAGTTAATAGATTGTGCATGTAGATGACAGTCATTTTTAGACAGGAATTGTGAACGTGATGAAGTAGAGGGTGGCAGTTCGACTGAACGGTTAAGTGAACAGGCCTAAGTCCAAGATAAACACTACCGGCAACAAGCGAAACTCAAGCTGTCGATTAAGATGGGCAGTGCTACCTGGTCAACTCTCAGTTGAGTTACTTCACTGATTAACTTTATGTGTCTTGGTCCAAACTTCATCAAGTGACGGGCTATCTCTGCTACCACTTCTCCATGCAATTCTTTTAAAATCTGATATGCCAATTCTACTTTGCACTTCGACATTTTTCACGTGTTCGCTACACTTCTAACATTGTTTACAGAGGGCGCTATGGTAATTTGTTAAGAGTGACCTCCCTCTAGGTGATGGAAAATTGGGTTTAAGGGAAGCAACTGCAGTAAACACGGATATCAGCTGTTTCGTAACCTGGCTGTTTCGTACTTAGTGCATTCGTACCTCACATGAGCCGTTTCGTACTTTACTTCGTACCCCAAATTGATTAATCGTACCTTTTCCTATTTTGTTGAAATCAGTTAAAAGAAATTGGAATAAAGGTGAAACGATTTGGTCAAATCCAACGGCTACGCTAAATTTATAAAAGTGGCTGCCGAGCCATAATTAGAATGTGCACGAGATTTGTACCTCAACTTGATTAGTTTGTTTTCCTAAATGTGTTTGAAAGAAATTGAAATAAAGGTGAAACATAATTAAACGATTTGATCAAATCCAACGACTGCGCTAAATTTATAAAAATGGCTGCTGAACGAGCATTAGCTACGATGATTTAATAACAAAAAGCGAATTTTATGCATTGATAATTACATGAATATGAAACATTTAAATCATATACCACAGCCTGTTAAAATATTAAAAAAGAACAACTTTTTTTTTTATAAAAATGGCTGTCGAACGAGAATTAGCTACGATGATTTAATAACAAAAAGCAAATTAATGTATGCATTGAAAACAAAAAAAATAAATAAATAAAAAAAAAAAAAAATTAGAAATTTCCATATTGATATTACCATGGACCTTATAATACATGTATTATAGGTCCATGATATTACATTGCCTGCCCGATAGTAGTAATTCACACACAAAGGATACATTTAAACTAAAATTGCTTCATGATATAGCCTAACAGATCAAAGAAACGCGTACGCCCATCTTCACACCTTTTGGAGACGTGCTGCGTACTAATGTTAGGCTCAAATAACTCAACCATATCAGAAAGCATACAGTTTCACCTTACAATGAGTTAAATTGATTTTGGAATTCTTAGTGTATCGATAATTCAATCGTTTATTAAAGGCTCAATACCACTCTTGTTGTAACTGAATAATATGTCCCAATCTTTATTCTGGTCAACAAATTGTACTATTTTAGAATATTTCAATTAATTGATGATACAAATTTCATCTTAACACACCTTATTTAAAAATTTTGAAAAATTCAACATAATGGTTTGAAACGCCTAACGTAAACCTTTTCAAATGAAACTTCGATTTAAAAATATTTTCGAACCCTCTGGACAAGTAAAATAGGATGTAATGGATAATTTACACAACAGGTAGGACACTTAAACATCTAGTACTTAGATAGAGATATTATTTATTTTCTGGAGCTTTCAAGCCAGCAAGAGTGTTATTGTCCCTTTAACCGCTTTAACAATCTCCAATCATTATAATCACAAATCACAATCACCACTCACTTAGCAGAATGAGTTCAAAATGAAATGAAATGAAATGGGGTTCGTCCTACTGTTCTGCTCCTAAACTGGGCTAATGAAGACGGGCAAACGCCATACAGTGTGCAATGAGGGGAATTTTGCCCGGGCAGCGGCACTACGGCCTACTCTTATATCGAATTCCAACTGCCAAGGGATCTTTTACGTGCACGCCAATGTGTACACGGGACCTCGGTTTTTCGGCAAACGCCATACAGTGTGCAATGGAGGGAATTTTGCCCGGGCAACGGCACTACGGCCTACTCTTATATCGAATTCCAACTGCCAAGGGATCTTTTACGTGCATGCCAATGTGTACACGGGACCTCGGTTTTTCGTCTCATCCGCACGACTAGACAGGCTGTATTTCCGGCAACCTGTTTTTCAAAATTTTCTGGGGGAGGCCCCCTACCCCTAGTTGAGAAGCTCGTGCCTTTGCCCCCTTAACCTTGGACTTTGCCCCAGCTTTGCCCCTCCAATCACCGAAGGCTGGCGCCGCCACTGTCGATAATCAACACCAGATTTAAAAAAAGGCAGGTAATCGTTTATTATTTCAATTTCTTTCAACAACATATAGATTTGTTTTAATTTCTTTCAATTTATACAACAGCATATAGGGAAAGGTACGAATCCATTTGAGGTACAAATCACGTGTGTAGGGCCTATTCTAATTCTCGTTCGGTAGCCATTTATAAATTTAGCGCAGCCGTTGGATTTAGGAAAAGGAACTAATCAATTTGAGGTACAGTGCATATTCTAATTCTGGTTCGGCATATTCAATTTCTTTCAACTGATTTCAACAACATAGGAAAAGGTACGAATCGATTTGAGGTACGAAGTGGGGTACGAATGAACTAAGAACGAAACAGCCAGGTTACTAAACAGCCTGCATACAACATTCGTCGTCTTCCCATCGTCCCACGAGGCATGCCTGCTCTTTTCAGAACACCAGGTGTTACTCACCTCTGTTGGAGGAATGTTTAATTGTGGTTGGTACAGGCACTTTTTAAATCCGATAGCGTGAGGGTCGAACCCAACCTATAAAATTAAATAAGCCGACTAGTATTGTACCATGGGGAGCGGCGGTGTCTCAATGGTAAGACGTTGGCTCGCTAACCTGGAGATCCTGTGTTTGATCCCGTTGTTGGCCGGCATGCTCCCCTCCCCCCGTCAGCAGCTGTCCGACCATAATTTTCCTCGTAGCATACTGTGGCATATGCCCAGGTTCTTCATTATCCCTGTCGGAGCAGAACAGTAGGACATTATACTATGGTGATCGGATATTTAGTTGACGACAAACTCTCATAAGATTGAAGTTCAGAAAATATAATATAACGATAAAAACTAGTTCCCATGTAAAAGAACCCTTGACGGTTGGAATTGGAAATCAGAGTAGAGACCGCCGCTGTCCGGCCAAATTTCCCTCATAGCACACTGCATGTCATATGCCCGTGTTCATTATCCCGGTTGATGCATTTCATTTAAAATTCAGAGAACAAGAACGTGAGATAGTTCCGAAACGGCCCAATTACCTAGAGTAATGGAAGAATTAACTGGTGTATAGTGTAAATTTGAATCACGTTTTGCATAATTTGCATAATTATAAATTATCTTTTGCACACGAGCCAATCAATGTTCTGATACAACTCTTTCATTCACCATTTTGAACGCAACGACTGATCAGTGGTTAAAAAATTATAATAAATCCGTTATATTAAGGATATTATTAATTTATTCAATATACCCCAGATATATACATGAACGGTAATGACATTCTATATGGAGTATATGACGGTTAACTCGGTGGTTGAAAACATAGACAAGCGAAGCAATGGGTGAAAAATTAAATGATTGCATGAAATAACACCATAGAAAATAATCTATTCGTAGGGCAGTTTTTACCGATAATTCAGATATATCACAGAAGTAAAGTTGTTTTAAGTCCTCTTCAATTTTTAAAATACTAGTAAAAAATATGAATCCTCAGCAGTTTCACAATGTGTCTGTGCTTTTCTATGCCGCTGTTTTGTGTTTCTTTAACAGCAATATTTTGAGATATATATGAATATGTAGCCCCCAGCTTGCAACATCTCTAACCGTGGTCTAAGGAATTAGCATATTAGGAGATAAAAAAGGAAACATAACGTTTGTGGACACAGACAGATGGGTAATGTCGATGGTATGTTTAGCGTTCGTAACCGAATTATACGAAATTTGGGTCCAGACCATCGCTTAGATGTCTATGGATAGTGATTAGTGTCGTAAAACGGGATATGTTCTCCCGAATTTGTCGTACCAATTTAAAGGTTTGCTATTCTTTTATATAATGATAAAGCATGATTAATGAAAGATAGATTATCATAAATTAATAAAAGTTGAGCCAATAGGTAAAGAAATCGTTGTTTTATAATTCATAACTATTAAATGATCTGATATTTATAGCACTATTTATCAATAACATCGTCTATAAATTGGCGTAGAGACTGGATGATTTCACATATTCTGCTGCAAATCTATGTAAGCTGAGGTATTCATCCTGAAATTAAAATAAAACCAATTAATGTAACCAAAGGACCACGAGTTCAACTCCATATTATTTAGGTCAATGCCTAACTTTAGAATGATAAATTGTGAAAATTTAAAATGCTACCCTTTTTCTCGGGATGTTGTGAATTTAGAGAGATAATGAATGTCGGTTAAAAATAGGTATGCTCGTTCATCACTTGACGGTAGTTAATCCTCAGGAACACTCGCGAATTATAAAACAAAACGATAATAGAAATGGGGTTTAACGTCCATTTGACACGCACTAGGCCATTTCGGGACTAAAATATGGTTCAATTATAATTCTATTATTCGTTTGCGCGTGGGGGTCTTTAGCAGTGGGAGCAAACCGGAGGAGCCGGAGAAAACCCACGAGGCTGGACATGCGACCCCACTGCTTGTCACATACAACTGGGTAATCGAAACCGCATCAGTTGACTCAATGACAGACCTTATGATACAACGCACACGCGCTAACCATTTACTCCCCCCATGCTATAAGCAGCCTTTATGGATTAACAAGAGTTTTCTCATAAAGAAAAACTTGTAAACAAACATCAAAATCAAATTACTTACCTGCGAGTTTATCACACAAGAAATCTGTTGATGCATTTTTCTAACATTTTCAAATATCTCAACTTCATTGTCCAGTTTTATTCTCTGTATGATATTTCTTATTACACAGAATAATTGACCAACACAAAGTTCACTGAAATAATAAGCAGACTGACCAATAAATCTCATGAAAAGAGTAATTGTTTTAATGCCAATGAAAATGAAATAATAGGAATGTACTAATTATCATAATTATTCGAATAAATTTGGTTCATTGCACTACCCTGAAATCTACTGAGGTCCGCGAATACAGAACACCCACGTTCGGTCATTTCATATGATGTGTTCAATTGCTGCCCAAAATCGAAGTAAGAAAATATATTTTTTATCCAAGTGATTCCGTCTCCGCCTTTCCAGTAGCTGGATACTTTTGCGATATTTCGGAAAATGGGTTTCTCGATCCATATACGTGACCATTTTCGTTAATTTTAAATTTTGAATTTATCTAGACTTACTTCGAAAACACAGCTATTGGATTATTATCATTATTATGGTGAATATCTATCTGTTCCACCAACTCTTTTATCTGATTAGCCAATACCAGCCATGATCTGTGCTCGTCTACATTCATCAACAAAACTTTTACAATTTTTCTTTCTGTATTCTGAAACAAAGCCACAATTTTAAATTTCTTCGTAATTACACATATTCTATATTATTGAAATGATAAAAGTCAAGAGCTTTTTCGATGAACCAGTTATTCTTGAGGGAACTTATCTTGTAGTTGTTGATTTGCAATACTATTTATTTCCAACTTACCTCATATTGTGAAGCTGAAACAGTTATCAAATTTAAATTATTTGAAACCCGTGTATCAGATTTATTTTCCAGTTCTACTGATCCGTATTTTTCTTCTGTATCACGTTCTGGGCAAATAGCCACTTCATTCTGAGAGGAAAGAGTAATTAAATTATAATTGTATCAATAAAATTCTCGCTTCTACCATCTTTATTTCTACGATAGCGACAAAACTGTTATTTTTCCTCAAAATGATAACATTTTTTTTCTTCTTGTATAACGCTTAGAGAAAAAGCTAGTTATAAAATGTGCATGCTTAAACGCGCTTTGTAATTTTATCTGGCTTCTGCATTCCAAGTAAAAATCATCAAACCAATAAGGTGACTAGTGTTGAGTGCTTATTTTCGTTTTGCAATGAAGTATCATTTTGTACTGGGTTCGGTTGATTTTGCTGTATAGGTTACCTTTATGAAGGCTCTGTTCATAAGAACCGATATCTTATAATTAATTAGACATCTTATAATTATTTAGCTTTTTATCTGACTGTAATGGTGTTAGTCGATCAAAATTGCAAACATATGACTCAAAGAGAATAGGGAAGCGATTAAAAAAATAACCAACCCAATTAAAAAAAATGAAGAAAAAATAACCTTACCGAACTATTCAAAAAGGCTACAGTAACTGAACAGTTGTGATTTTGTATTAGCTGCCATATTGATTCCGTGTTATATCCATTCATATCAGCCATGATATAACCAATCTTGTTTGTTCTAGACTGAAGGTTTAAAAATTCCACAAATAATACACCCATATACATAAAAAACATACATATGTGTTTAATTTTGTTAGTGTAATATTGGAGACATCTACTTTTCAAGAGAGAGAGAGAAATGGGGTTTAACGTCCACTCAACACAAACTGGAGGACCCGGAGAAAACCCACGAGGTTGGACAGGAGGTTGGACTACCTGTCACGTACAATCGGGGAATCGAAACCCCGCCAGTTGACTCAATGCCAGACCGTATGATACAGCGCGCACGTGCTAACCATTCGCCCCCTCTACTTTTCAAATACTATTAATAAAATAATTAAAGATTGTAAGAAACATTTAAAAGATCAGCAATTTATGATACAACCAAAGTATATGTTACTTAAACCTACGGGGTAAATATAGGCTGATGAATCCTGGTCCTTGTCAATGCCATGGGTATCTGAAATAAGAAAGATGGAAATAAGGCAAATCAAGCATGGCGTTTCATCGACTATTAAATGAACTACCAGTAACGAGAATACATTATAGCAAGACAAGCGACGATATAATTCCTATATTTTGGATTTTACTCGAATTACCGGTATTTTAAAAACTTATTACATCTGTTTATTACTTTATGATATCCAACTTGGTTGTTAGGGGGAATATAATAATTACATTGTCCTGTGACAAATTACAGACATAAAAGTCCACCACAGTATACATTTGTTTGTAACAGTATCACGTTCTCAAACTCCACATATTCGCAAAGAAATGGATGGCCCAAGAGATCCCTAAGTTATTAAATAAAAAATCATACGAAACACTGCAATTATCATCACCCCATCGCTTACCTGTATTTACTGTAATCTGCCTTAAATATTCACATTGTTCATGAAGGGGCATTTGACCAATTATTGTCGAAGAATTATTTGCATCCAACTGCGATTCTAACACAGTCTTGTCTAAACTAGTATCACCATATTTAAATCCCTCCGTTAATGCTTCATAAACAAACTGTAACTGACCCTAGCGAAACGTAAAATTAAAGCATATTATAATAAATGTACAAAACAAACCTGCTTTATCGACTGGTACATGTTTTTATTGAGGTCATGGTAATGCTTTATTTCTCAGTGTTTGGTGCTATGTTAGGATATTTGCTTACTCTGCCGGAATAGACGATACCATGGTAAATCAATACGGAATTTACGTACAAATATAATACATGAATATTAATGGTCCAGCTGCTGATATTTTGATATCACCTAGTCGATGTTATTCTGTTCTTATCTATACGCTGTACAAAAGTTATACTGAGAATTAATGACAAATTGAAGTTCTTGATTGTCACTTGCATTTTTTGGACAATATCTAATCTACTCAAAATAATCCACGCCAAAATTTAAATGTCCCCAATGTAACTATGCATTTAATTTAGAAAATAAAACGTCAATGGCAGATATAATCTGGCTTGTATTCAATCAGTTTAAATAGAGGCCAAACAAATGATTTCAGAGAAAACTATAGGTGGACCGATGGCTATTTCTGACCATATCCTATATATCGTCTGTAGTGCATGGTGAATGTTGACAAAAATTTTCAATTCATCATATCTTTGCAAATAATAAACATAATTTACCCATTTGAGGAATGATATTTCTTATTAGAAATTATACTTTTACAACATTGCAGATTACAATGGATTCAAATCCTTTACATGACGGCCAAAGACCATAATAGAAGTAATGGGCACATATTTAAATTATTTAATTCTACTTACGGCTGTTTGTATCATACCCCTCCTCTGATTTCTAATCGTTTTAATAAATTCAATAACATCAAAGCTTCCTGTCTCTTTTCCTTGTTTTAATCCACAATCTATAGCTATATATGTTCCTGTTCTACCAACACCAGCACTGTAATATAATAATATAATATATAACTATACATGTTCCTGTTCTACCAACACTGTAATCTATAACTATACGTGAATGATCTATATAATGATATAATCTATAGCTGTAAAATTATATGTTCATGTTCTACCAGCACTGTAATAAAACAATATACATGTAATAATATAATCTGTAACTGTATATAGAAGATAATTATATACGTACCTACAATGAACAATCTGTGGTATATTTGAATTAGGTTTATGTTTATTAACCATGTAGAGAAAATCTAACAAATCGCTGGCATTAGGAACATCATGATCAGGCCAACTTGTATAATGGAAGTGATGAAATTCATGTTTAACTCCATCCTGATATAAGTAATCAACATCAGAATATAATGTAATAAGTATATGCCATTGTAGTACCAAATGTGTACAATAAATGACACACACCCTATTCTGTAAAACAGAACGTCTACACTGTTAACTTTATTTACCCCAAACGTTTCTGTTTTTGTTTGTCAAAAACAGCATTTATAGTTTCTTACAAATTTTGTGATCTATCAGAAAATATAAGTTAAAAGAATAAAATGATGACCTTCGAATACCTTAATCATGAATATATGACGTATGGTGAAATCAGCCCGAACAGTTTCTTCCTGTAAAGTCAAAGTTATGCCTCCAAATCTTTCACATCCCTCTTCTGGCCAATATTGCTCACATTTTAGCTAGGAATGAAAATGGTATTTAAATAAATTAACTATTACAAAAAGCCCTTTTTAAAAACATAAAATAAAGAAGTCGACCATATATTTCGTATTGAAAACAAATAAATGCAGATTAGTCCCATGTAATACATACAATGGTCTATGAAAATGAAAAAAATAAATAACACAGACAAGATCTTACCTTCCCCATTTCGCGTGTATTAGTTAACATGATAACCTTATCACTTTTCTGTTCCCAGATCATTCTAATAAAATCATTAATAGTAACTGCTGTAGCACCTGAAAGGTAAAATGAGATTCTAAATTAACACGATAATTGGTTTATAATGCATGGCTATGCTCAACAAGAGTTTACGTTTGAATGGATGTATGTTATTCTAAGACGCAGCAACTGGAATACTACTACTTAGTCAAACTGAAACCGGACGTGGTGGCAGCAACTTTCCCATTTCCTTCATCAAGTCGTTCAAAGAATTACATTCAGTCATTCTAATAAGGAAGACCTTTAGGACAACTTAAAATTTACCTCTTGAGTAACCTGGATAAAGATCACCCTGACAACATACCTACCAAATGTTTTCGAGTGCATTACACGGCTTCGGACAAGAAAGAAGCCGAAAATGACTCATCAATTATATACCCCGAACGGACGGACAGACGATCGGTGGATGTGTCGACAGAAGTCCTTCTAACAGTAAACCGAGAACAATTATACTTGTGGCGATAGTTAAGGGGCACATAGTTCCAGTTACCATTGTTTCCGGATATGGTTATCGATATAAAAGGTTAATATAACAAATTCACTAGAATATGGAAATATTCACCCTGTGCTGCTATATAGGTCTTTGGATGAATGATGCCCTGTGAAGAAAAAAATCAATGCAAAATGAGAACGTATACAACAAGTAAAATACTTGCGACCCACTGTTTTTTTTCACAGATACTTCGTAAACGAACATTGATTCTAACCAGTTTGATATTTTATTACTTCTGTAATCTTGGACACTTTATCCAGAGTGAGCAGTCATGATATTGGTTCGTTTGGTGTAGATCGTAATCTTCAATTCCTTTCTGATTATTGTGCCCCACCTACCATTATCTAATCCTCAAGTTAACAAAATTTTATTATATCATGAATTAGTCACCTTCTAATTAAAATGCTAGATATAAGTATACCTTATATGTCAATCTATATATTCTAGAATTATGGATAACAGTTAGTTAAATTTGTGTGTTTAAAATGTTATCTGCATGATAAGATATAGAATAATTGATACTTACATCAATATAGTTTGCATTGATGAAGTCTGAATTGGGATCTGTAGCGGAATTTTTGAGCACAACTCTACTGTGGTCATCTGTAACACAACATAGAACAAACAATGGATGAACACAGCACACCCAATCTAAAAGTTGAGTGATCCCGCCAAATAACAATCTGTGACTGACGGTCGAGTATTATTAAATACTAGCAGGATACCCGGCTTCGCTCAGGGGTCATAACTGCGAAACCGGAAGTGGTAGACTAACGCCACCTGGCCTATGTTACTCCCCGTTCCGAGCTACCCCTATACCCCAAATTTCAGACTCGGGGCAGACCTAGTGTAGCCGCCAACCCCGAACAGACCGGCTTCGCTCGGGGGTCATAACTCCGAAACCGGAAGTGGTAGACTAACGCCACCTGGCCTGTTACTCCACGGTCCGAGCTACCCCTATACCCAAATTTCAGACTCGGGGCAGACCTAGTGTAGCCGCCAACCTCGAACAGACAGACTTCGCTCGGGGTCATAACTCCGAAACCGGAAGTGGTAGACTAACGCCACCTGGCCTATGTTACTCCTCGGTCCGAGCTACCCCTATAGCCCAAATTTCAGAATCGGGGCAGACCTAGTGTAGCCGCCAACCCCGAACAGACCGGCTTCGCTCGGGGGTCATAACTCCGAAACCGGAAGTGGTAGACTAACGCCACCTAGCCTATGTTACTCCCCGGTCCGAGCTACCCCTATACCCCAAATTTCAGACTCGGGGCAGATGTAGCCGCCAACCCCGAACAGACAGACTTCGCTCGGGGGTCATAACTCCGAAACCGGAAGTGGTAGACTAACGCCACCTGGCCTATGTACTCCCCAGTCCAAGCTACCCCTATACCCCAAATTTCAGACTCGGGGCAGACCTAGTGTAGCCGCCAACCCCGAACAGACAGACGGACAGACAGACAGACAAACGACAGTCACAAATATTAGTATAGATAGATAGATAGCCTGTCGTTATCGGCAACGTGAAGTTGGCACGTATTCGGGATTCGCGAATGACGAATAACAAATAACGAGCCAGACCGTAGAGGTAAGTGAACTTTAGGTGGCACACTAGGAAGGAGACGACCGTTTTTGTCAAGCCAGTAGGGTGTTGACTGGTTTGTTGTTAGCGTGCACGAGGCAGTCCTCTCCCGCACTCATTATTCATGATTCGCGAATGACAAAAAATGAGTAACAAGCTGCACGTTATTCGGAAATCGGCACTAAAAAAGACCGGCCTACCCTGCATCCGACCATTTCCTCGCTACCTCCAAACGTACGGGTTAAGTGAACGTTAGGTGGCTGACTAGCAACGAGACGACCGTTTGTCAAGCGAATGGGGTGTTGACTGGTTTGTTGGCGTGTACGGGACAGTCCTCTCCCGCACTCACCTACTTTATTCCAGAATCCCGCATCCCGAATAACGAGCCAGTACGTTAATCGGGATTCGGCAGTAAAACAGAGCGGCCTACCGTCCATCCGAACATTTCCTCGCTACCCCCGACCGTAGCGGTAAGTGAACGTTGGATGGCCTACTAGAAAGGAGACGACCGTTTGGCGAACAATCCTGAACGGCTAAATTTGAGCTGAAAAGATCAGCACGTTTTTCGGAATTCGGCAGTAAAACGGACCGGCCGGGCCTACCTTCCATCCGAACATTTCCTCGCTACGTCCGACCGTATCGGTAAGTGAACGTTGGGTGGTCGACTAGAAAGGAGACGAACGTTTAGCGAACAATCCTGATTGGCTAAATTTGAGGTGAAAAAATCAGCACGTTATTTGGGATTCGGGATTCGGCGGTAAAACAGACCGGTATACCTTCCATCCGAACATTTCCTCGCTACCTCCGAATGTATCGGTAAGTGAACGTTGAGTGGCCGGCTTGGCTTGGCGAACAATCCCGAACGGCTAAATTTGAGCTGAAAAGATCAAACATGGTATCTTCAACAACCCACTCTAGACTGTTCCATAAAAAACTTTTTTTCCAAATAATAGTAAGTGCAATAGGACCGCACTACAAGCAAACCAAAATCCACCATATAAACCTGCGGACAAGACAGAATACATAGACACTGCAAGAAATAAACAAACGTTACGGAATATAATTAATGAATTTTAAATTAATATACTATTCAAAAAAAGTAGGGGATATTTGATTTTGGGGGCATAATACTAAAATATGCAAATGACTACGAAAAAAGTCACTATAGAACCTAACAGAAGAAACATTTCCAGTTACATGTGACGCCCAAACGCACCAATAGCTACCGCATGGAATGCAGGTGATGCTTAGGATCATCATGGGGGTCCAACCCAAGATTTGCACGACTCTGACTTTGAATGTTACAGTCATTGTGGCATTGAATTCCAGGGTGGAAACATCAGTTTAATTGTTTTAGTGACCAGAAAACAAATTTTGATATGCGTCGGCTTACCCAAAATGAAAGGTTACGTGCCCTTGGCATGCTACAGATCGGCACAACACAGGCGGTTGTGGCGCGGACGATGAATGTTTCTCAGTCTGTCATAAGCAGGCTATTGTCCAGATACCGTGATACACAATCTGTACAGGACAGACCACGCTCAGGTCGACCAAGGGCGACAACTCAAGCCCAGGATCGATTTATCCGTACCTTGGCCTTGAGAAATCGTGTCATCACAGCAAATCAGATCAGCGCTCGTCTTCAAACAGACACTGGTGTGAGAGTGAGTGGCCAGACGATTCGGAATCGACTGCATAGGGGTCACCTTCGCGCCCGACGTCCTCGCGTGATCCCTTGTTTGAGAGATCATCACATTCAGGCAAGACATCGTTGGTGTAGGGATCGTCAACACTGGGATAATCGACGCTGGAGCAATGTGATGTTTTCAGATGAGTCAAGGTTCACTGTTGATTTTTTGGACAGACGTAGGAGGGTGTGGCGTCGTCGAAACGAGCGCTTCCAAGACGTTAACGTCATCAGACATGATCGATTTGGGGGTGGTTCTGTTATGGTGTGGGGAGGCATCACTGTTGCTGGAAGAACGGCTTTACATGTTGTTGCAGGGCGTGTTACAGGCCAGTACTACCGGGACAACATCTTGGCAGTCCATGTTGTGCCGTTCGCACGACGTCATGGCCGCCGTTTCATCTTCCAGGATGACAACGCAAGGTGTCACAGGGCCAGGATCGTTACAGGTTACCTCCAACAACAGAACATCACCACATTACCTTGGCCAGCACTGAGTCCCGACCTCTCCCCCATCGAGCATGTCTGGGACATGCTTGGACAGAGGTTACGTCAACGTCAACAACGTCCTGCCAATGTCCAAGAACTTGCTGCTGCGTTGCAACAGGAATGGGACAATCTGGACCAAAATGACCTTAGACGTCTCATTAGGAGTATGCCACGTCGGATCAATGCTTGTTTGGCAAACAGAGGAGGATTTACCCGTTACTGACTTGGTTGTGATGCTGTGGTAACTTTGCTGTTTGACCCCGGGTATCATTTTACCCTTATAATGGTCAGTCTGTGCCTTACTTAGTCTAACGATCATTTGGAATATATCGATGAATGTGAACTTCATTTCATTTTGTCATTTGTTTCTTCGTCAGTTTCATTAGGTGACTTTAATAACACTTAAAAATCAAATATCCCCTACTTTTTTTTAATAGTATACTAACATGGATAATAACCACGAAATCGGTTCTTCATTCTGTTTTCTGGTTTCATGGCTACTTCATAGCTGGTAGTAAAATGGTTCTGCAATTGCTACAATAAAAGTGGGTTACACTACACTACACTATCATGGTATTTTAATTAAAATATCTTATAAGAATATGTCTATATTGAGACTAAAGCAGCTTATAGACAACATTTCTACAAATTGTTATTCAATGGTAATAACAAAATATCTAAAAGCTCATAAAGTAAATGTATAGTTATAAATATTTTCAAATTTAAGAATAGTTAAAATATATTCAAATATTACCAGGAACATGTGTTTAAATCCATTAAGAGTTTTTGTTTCAGTGACAAACGTTTCAAATTCATCTATTTTTAGTTTGGTCTTTGTATTTACAACGTTATAATAATCTGGATCGACGGATTCTTCAGGTGCCAGTCTAGTAGTATCAAATGAGTTGTCAACTGCTGGTTGATCTGTCAGAATGTCTATGTCCATTGAAGCAAGGGATTTATCATCTTCGTCAACATACATAATACCATTGGTATTGCCAGCTGTGTCAATTTGATTGCTAGTGGTATTTTGTTGATTATTAAGGATGATATCAGTTGGAGTTATTGGACCTGCTTCTGTTATTACTTCAGATAGCATAGTTGATTCCGGCTCCTCGCTGTGTATGGTAGCAACATGGTTGTTATTTACTCTTAAAACATGTTCTGAAACAGATATTTCACGCGAACGTAATAACTACATATATACATACAATACAGAATGATTTGATATTATAAATAATGAGATTATTAGTTCAACATTATCCCATAATAAATATTAGTGTTTTGAAAATGTCAGCGTGTAGATGTTAACTGGTACAACATAAATGTTCTTGTTACATTTAAGACGCAAAGCTTACAATTTACTTTTGAATGCAAACATAAATTATTATAAAATGGACACAGATATTTATTATT